ATGAAAGTTTTCCAACGACTAGGGTGACTTCTGAGCCAAGCCAATACTACTGAGGAGTCAGTCCAGGCATGGATCTGTTGCTTGGGTACTCCGAGAACTGTCGAAACTTCCTTTAAGAGCTTGGCGAGCAACACTGCTCCGCAAAGCTCGAGTCTCGGAATCGACACCTGCTTGACTGGTGCCACTTTGGTCTTGGATGTGATGAGGTTGACATGAATGGAACCGTCTTTGTCGATAATGCGAGCATACACAACAGCAGCGTACGCGATATTGGATGCATCGGCGAAGCCGTGCAGCTCTACTAGAGAGTCATCACTGGAAGCATGAATCCAACGAGGAAGACGAAATTGGGTAAGTTGTTTCAACTCTTCTCTGTAATTAAGCCAGTCCTTCAGCAGTGATGAAGGGAGTTCCTGATCCCAATCGATGCCTGACAGCCATAATCTTTGTATGAAAACCTTTGCTGTTATTATGGCTGGAGCTATCCATCCGAGAGGGTCAAACAATTTTGCGATGTCCGAAATAACTCTGCGCTTCGTTACAGGAGTTTCCAAAGGAGGAAGATTCACGGTGTACTCGAATTCGTCGGAGCTTCTATTCCAGGTAAGTCCTAGAATTTTACTAACCGTGTCTATTTTAAGTTCCAGGTGTCCTCCGGTTGCTTGTCTATGGTCTTCCTGTATATGATCCAATAATTCGGAATTATTGGTAGACCATCGCTGAAGCTCGAATCCTCCACGACCAAGCAACTTCTTCATTTCGTGGTAGATCTTAATACCTTCTTCGACATTCTGGCATCCTGTCATCAAATCGTCGACGTAGAAGTCTTTCAACACACGGTTCGACGCAAGAGGAAAATCAGCTCCCTCATCGTGTGCAATCTGCTGTAAGGATTTCACCGCCAAGTATGGTGCCGATGATGTGCCGAAGGTAACACGGAGAAGACGGAAATGCTGCAACTCATCTTCTGAGTTTTCACGCCATAGGATTCGTTGAAAATCAACATCCGTCTTAGACACCTTGACTTGCCTGTACATCTTAATGATGTCTGCAACGAGGCATATTGGAAACTGGCGCCAATTCATCAGGATGTGACGCAACTCAGGTTGAAGAGTTGGTCCGACCAACAGATCCTGATTCAACGACGCACCATTTGTTCCCGTACACGACGCATCGAAAACAACTCTCACTTTGGTGGTGATCTTGTCATTTCGCACTACTGCGTGATGTGGTAAATACACCGCATCCGTCCTTTCTTTATCCTCGACCTTCTCCATATGGCCGAGGTCCAAGTATTCATTGATGACCTTGACATAATCTTTCTTCATGTCAGGGTCTCGTAAAAACCGCTTTTCTAATATAAGAAACCTTTTCTGGGCAATTTGTTTCGAGTGACCATATTTGCATTTCGGATCCGGTGTGCG